CACTAGATAATGTATGAAATGATAAGATAAGGCCCAACAAACATGAAGAAAAGGCAACTATAGCCCATTAGACTGTAAGTTATTTTCCAGGCTAAATTAGCATGTAAATGGGCCACTAAGGCCCACTAACATGTAAATGCTAAATTATGCCCATTTAGCATGTAATTGGGTCACTTAGGCCAATAGACATGTGATGAATACATTGGGCCCAATAAACAGTAATGGGACCACGAAGGCCCAATAAACATGTATAGCATTACTAGGCCCAATAATCGCACCATTGTTTTAATTTCGCTTGTTCGTTATAGAATATTTTGTTATGTCGTAATTCCATAATTGAACGTAATTTTAATAGAACTTGCGCTTTAATTAAAACTCTTAAAAACTAATTTGAGACATTTAAGGCTTATTTCACAAAATGTTCTATATTGTTAGTTAAAATAACATTTTAAGCCCATTAAGTTATAAAAGTTCTATATTTTCGGCCCAAATGTTTATAATTGACAGATTTGACCCAAAAATACATGTATTGGCGTTTTCAGCCATTTTTTGCAGAAAATTCATTCTTGACCCATTTTTCGTGAATTTTACATTTTTGGCCCAAATTCCAAAACTTTGCATTTTTTAGCCCAATTTAGAAATAAATGTTTATTTTTCACCCCTAAATTCGTTTAATTACATTTATGGCTTAAACTTTGATCAAATGACATTTTTAACTCCGAAACTCTTATTTTTCGCAATTTGGGCCGCAAAAACCAAAAAACCGTGAGGCAAATATTAAGCCATTAGGCTAAAATTTAACTTTTGGCCCTTTGAAAAGTAGGGTGATAATAAAAATCCATTTTATATATTATGACCGTTTGATCCTTATAAACCGTAAATGCCACTTTTTGCCCTTCCTTTTGTTTTCTTGACAAATATGACCCTTAACAAGATTTTGCTTTAAATTTTCATATCTTAAACATGTAAACACTTTTAAGTTGATAGTATGATGTATAAGGTGTCTTAGTTCATGGATTTTTACTCAATGTTGCTTAATATGTCGAGATGTGTTAACATCTAACACATTTTTACAAAATAAACTAAGAAATCACACATGACATGCATAAAACACAAGATCTACACATTTTACTTGTATTCTCCCCCAAAAACATGTAAAAACCGAAAACAAGGGGGTATGAACTCACCTTGCTTGATTGATCTTGATTTGAAGAAGAAGTGAGTGTGTTTTCGGCCCTAGCAAGCATTCTTGAATAGATTTTGAGCTTAAGAAGTTTCTAAGAGTGTGATCATGGAATAAAGCTATGTAAGAAGGAGTTCTATGTTTAAATGAAAGGAGATGTTTTGTGTTTGATAATAACTTACCAAGAAATGATGATTTTGGTGAAAACATTCTGGAAACAACACTAAATCTCGAAAATTTAGAGAAAGTTGGAGAAGTTCTTGAGAGTTGTTGTGAGAGAAAGTTTTGAAAGTGTATGGGTGTGTTGTGGGCTTGTCTTCGGCCAGAAGGAAGAAATGGAGACAGGGAAGGAGAATTTTACATGGGGGGTAAAGATATCATGGATGTTTGTGATTATCTAGAAGTATGTTAGACAATTACGTGTTGTCATCACCTCCTAAATCCTCCGTTGATCTTTATTTTTATATCTTGGGCCGAGAATTGGGCTTAAGATAAATAGAGTTGAATTTGCTTGGCCCACTCTTGGTTTCGATTGAGTTTGTGAAGCCCAATAAGTAGTTTTCGGCCCATTGGGCCTTTAGGGTACTTCACGGCCCAATGAAGTCCAATTAAAGATGTTTAGGGTCCATTGAGGCTATTGGAATTCGTTGTGGCCCAAATTGGCCCATTAGGGTAAACTAATCCATTCTAGGCCCATAATGTCCCAAAATGTCAAGTTTCATGAAGGTGGAACCGTTTAGAGCCCAAATTAGGGTTTCTAGGCCCAAAATAGTCAACTTGGATACTTCTTGGTCCATTTGGCTCAACAAGAAAATTCTAGACCTTATTAGACTTGAACCGGGATTTTTAGAGTTTCAAACTCTTTGTTGAACATAAGAGGTGTATTTGAATGTGCATTGAGTGATATATACATAGAGTACATGCTTTACAATAGTTGAATGATTACATGGGAGTAGAATTTCGTAGCTAAATTGCTAGTTGTGACAAGCAGCACGACCACTGAGATCTAGGCAACGAGACTACCAAGGGTTGAACCACGAGGGTACTCTTTCGATCCGGAATATTAATGTCACATCGGGAATGCACTGTCATGCATAACATCAGTTCTTCATGTACTTTAACTCTGTGCCTTCGGAATAAAAATCACTTCTGCATAACGTCGTACCGACCCTACTCCCCCCTTCTTAGATGAGTCGAGGAATGGAAACGATGGATGCATAGTTGCTGGAAATTGGGCGACACAGCTGCTGAAAAAGCTAGGCGACACAAGTGCTGACAAAAGTTGGGTAGCGCAGTTGGCGCGACTGCTGGGAGTCAGACAGCATATCTGTTGATGACTGAGCTTTGTGGATGCTGAGCTGGGTCGCATCGCTATTGAGGGTCGTGTTGCGCTACTGTTGAGATCCAAGTAGTGCAACTGCTGAGAGATGAGCAGTGAGATTACGAGAGCCGGTCGACATGAATGGTGAGAGGTGCCTGAAGTTGGCCGACACGACTGCTAATAGCCATGTAGCGCGGTTACCGAGGGCTAGGCAAAAAGACTACCAAGGGCTTATCGGCATGGCTGTTGGGATCTCGGAAGCGCAGTCGCCGAGGGGTAGGCTTTACGACTGCTCTTTCCTTCATAACACTAATGTCTTCCAGGGAATGCATGCCCATATACCATGTCCGCTTGTTATGTAGTTCGGCTATTTGCTTGGAATAACACTTCTGCATAATGGCGTGCTAACTCTCCTATTCCCCCCTTTTTAGAAAAGGCGAGAAGTGAGAACGAATGGATATATGATATTGGCTTGTTGTTTGCACGCTCGAGTCTCATTCGTTTGTACATGCCATTGTAAACAATAATAGTAAGTTTTCTTATCCCATATTTTGTAAGGAATCGTAAGATAAGTGCATGATAGTGGCAGTTAAAGCATGTAAGCATGCATTTTTAGAGGTTGTTCACAACATGTGCCTCTGTTTAAACTTGTATAGACAAACTACTTGTGTGTTGTATAAAATGCTGGAGTGGCATGCAATTAGTAGTTGCGAACTAATGATGACAAAATGGTTTGATTATATAGAAAATTGCTTGTCAATTCAGTTATCAAAACGTGGCATCTTTGCATAAGATGTTGTAGTAAAAAGATTATCTACTATGTAGTAGATTAGTATTTTTGCATATATACCTTAACTCACTGAGGGTAAAGGTATGCCACGATTGTCATAATAAAGTTTTTAGTAAATATTTTAGTTTTCACTAAATGGAGATAATATATAAATGATATTAATTTACTTGAGAGATGAGAGAAAGTAGACCTTGAGCCTTCCTATCGTGGTCGTATTCTAAAATGCTTCATGGAGTAGTAGTAGCATACTACTCTTTTCCCTCCCTCTTTTTTTGGAAACACCAATCGTATTGTGAAACATATTTGTTGAGCGGGGATTGCGGCGCACGAGTATAAAATTGTTGATTTTGCCTTGCAAAATTAGATCATTTTTGTATTGTGGAGGTAGCCCATTAAGTACCAATTTATATGAAGCCCAAATTGCCACAACCCAAAATTGTTATTATTTTTTATTAGAGCCCGCAAATAATAATCCCAAATTCATACTCTCTTCTTCTTCTTCTTCTTATTCTTCTTCTTCTTCTTTTGTTTGAAAATTTCGAATGATTCGGACCACCACATGTTCTAAAAACGCATTTTGTTGAGCGGAGTCACAGCATTCGAGTGTCGAATGGGCCATTTTGTTGTTGTCGAGTGAGCCCAATAATATGTAAAAATCTAGGAGAAAAACCCAAAACAAATTTGTTGTTGTTTAAGCCCATTTGACAATAATTAAAGTCAAAGATAATAAATGGCAGTTCATATGCAAGTTGAGCCCATCTAGCAAATGATCAAACCTTTTTTTTTTGCTGTGTTTTGAACGAATCGGATACCAAAGGGCACTACACTGTGCTCTTTTTTTTATATTATCAATTTTGAGAAAAAGGTTTGTCTCTTTCATACGCCAATTTCCAAGGATCTTATCAAGAGAACAATCACATCTTGCGTTCTTGATGTACTCGTATCCGGTGGTTCCTCGTCGAAGTTCGTTGTCTGGAAGACCTGATTGGAGCCGCGGGACCCGCCGGCGACGCTGATTAGTTAGATCGTTGGTGATCTTTGAGTAGTGCAAGGGTCGATGACCACTGGTGTGCGGCTCCGGCTGGCGGTGGCAAATCGAGAACACAGGAGAACCAGTCGACAATGAGTTCTGGCGAGGGGAGATGCAAAGGCCGTCGACGGGCTATAAGAGGTGGTCGCCAGGCGATCTTGGTTCCAGTTGGCGGCGACGGGTCAAAGAACTGATGTCGGAGGTTGTGTGCTTGCTGGTGGCCGGCTAAAGGTCTAGCGATTCCTGGTAGGAGTGATTTGGATTTGGTTTCATTTGGTGATGGCGTTATTGTTGATGTTGGAGCGGGGCTTTCCCGTCAAAGAAGTTAAGATGATGTTAACTGGGAGCTGTTGTGATGGCGGAACGATGGTCTTTGGCCGGTGATAGGAGGGGCAAGCTTTGTCGGCTGGCGATTGGTGATTGTCGTTGAGGGTATGCGGCGACAGCAGGTTCCGATCCAGCGATGGTGGCTATGTGCGCTGGAGTGATTGTTGCAGAAGATCGCTTGGCGGTGAGGGGAAACCGGTTGCTGACCGGTGATGTGCTAGCTTCAGTTAGCATGGAAAGATTGAGAAAAAACGAGGACCAGCTTTCGCTGCCAGTGGTGAGGTTGAAGATTCTTGTGGTTGCTAATGGGGGACGACGACTGCAGCCTGAGCCTCTTCGTCGGGGCTGGATGTTCCCAAGTAGTTTTTTTGGCGAGCTGGGAGCGACTGGTAATGGGTCCGGCGACCTGGTTAGCTGGGAACGATCAGAGGTGCTCGAATTTCGAGCGCTGATGAGGTTTCAATGGCTGCTACCGGTTGATCTAATTGGAAGGGATGAAGGTCGCTTTCGAGAATGGGGGTGCCGGAGGTGGTCGACAGTAGTGATCAGGTTCTATCCGCTGGAGCAAGAAACGCCTGGTGGCGGAGCAGCGGTGGTCTCGTTGGCGACTGGTGATTCCCGGGTTTCGACCACCGATGAAGTTGGTCCTGAACCATTGTCGTCAATCGAGACGGGAAGAGGCACCATGGTAACCAGAGGGTGCGAACCTGGCGGGGCCCGCTCTTTGTCGTTTGCTAGCTTTTGCTTCCTTGAATTTTGTGGTGTAGACTGTACACGCATACCCCTCTTTTTTATCTTTTGTCGTTTGTAGAATTAGGCTTGACAGCTCATTTGTACAGTCTATTGTAAATGTGAGCTGTAAGAATTTCTCTTGTTTATTTATTTATTTATTTTTTGAAATGTACAACACATCTGTAAAAGCTAAGGCATGAATATTCCCTTACCTTTTTTCATATTTTTTTTTTTTTTTGGTCGGCCATGAAAGGACAACAAGCAATACAACTGTTGTATTTGGGTTTTTTTTGTTGATGTAAAAAGGAATCAGCATTGAATATACCTCTCTTACCTCTCTTTTTCCTTTTTTTTTACTGGTTACTTTCTTGTATCAGTTCATTTCTACATCTCTGTTTTTTTAATGATGGGATAACTATAATTGAACTGAGGGTAAATATAATTTTTGATGAAAAATATGGTCTGATAGGTTTTAAAATGTACAAGTGCCACAGCTGTGTTTACAACTTGAACACACTTGTATCCATAACTCATACTTAGATGGAAAATGGGTTTTATTAAATTTTGAGAAGATGAGAGTTTATAAATAACTTATTTATTTCTTCAAGCCTTTTAACAGCTTGAGTAAATTTTTCTACAGAAAATCATAAATTATATGTGATTTTTTGAAAATATATGAACAGAAGTGGGATAAAAACCCATGAAAAGCTCTTCTTTTCATTTTTTGTTCTCAAAATTTTTGAAAAAGACACGGAATAAACAACTTGGTAAATGTACAAACATCCCAACCATAGTTACACACCAGTGTTTCAGATGCTGAAGTTCTGCATAGAAAATCTAAACAAAAATCGATGGATAAGGGGTAAAAAAATTTGAGAGGGTCTTATTCATAGAAAATTGTGAACTAAAATATTTTCTTATTAACATGAACTGAAATTAGGATAAAAAGCTTATGGAAATATATTTCTCCTCTTCTTGCTCACTAAATCATCAAAATAATCTGAAATAAGGTAAAATCTATAAAAACTTGTTTTCTTTTTATAAAACTTCTAAAGAAACACCAAATAAACAACAAAAAACTCTTTTCTTCTCAAACTTGTTGAAAAAAACCTCAAGATAAAAACAAAAAACGGGATCTGATGAGGGTTTCTTCTCATAAAACTTTCTTTTCTCTTCAACTTGGTCAACAAACCATCAAAATGTGAACAAGAAATAGATCTGAAAAAATTCCGTTTTCCCTCTTCAAACTTCGAAAGAGAAAACACCAAAAATATAAACAAAGGTGAGTTAAGAGCTCGATTTTTTTTGAAGGCTTTGGGAAATGTACAAGTATTATAACTTTGTTTACAAACAAAATGTAGCAGTGAGTGGTGTTGTACATAAAAAATCTTAACTGAAAAATGAATTTCTAGTAATATAAACTTGATAGGAGGATAAATACTTGTCAAATTTCTTTTCTCCCCAACTTGCTGAATGGGTCATTGAAAAAAAAAAGACGAAATTGATCTGAAATGTCTTTATATGTTTGAAAAAATGTTTGAATGAAAAATAACTAAAGCAGATCCAAAAGATCTAGTCTTAAAAGCGAAACAAATCCATAAATCTGAACAAAGACACTAAGGGGCTGTTTGTTTTTTTTATGAAGATCTGCGCAACCACTTTTGTCTGCGCCGCGCAGACATATGCCATCGCAGACTGTTTGTTTTTTGGAAGTGCGTAGATCAAAAAACGTCTGCGCGAGGTCTTCCTGGCGCAGACATGGGTCAGTGTCTTCAAAGGTCTTCAGACCCCATTTTAACATAAATAAATAAAAAAACATAGGCCACTGTGCAGTTTTTTTTTTCTTTCCTTTTTAGCTGAAAATGCATTTTTAATGTTTATGACATAAAATTAAGTTTGAAAAATCAATTTATTTCAACAGTCGCAGACGTTAAAAACAAACAGTCTTTATATTGCAGACTGCAGACATTTGGTCCACCTCTTCTGCCACAGAGGCTTGCAGATGTGGTCCGCAGACTGTAGACATTTTGGCTTCAAAAAAACAAACAGCACCTAAGTAGATCAGGAGATCTGATCGATAGAACACATCAGATCGAAAGATCTGAGGGGTGGCTAATCAGATCTGAACAGATCTTGGTAAGAGCCAACGGATCTAAACAAATGGTGCTAGAAATGAACAGATCTGAGGAAAACCTAAGCTGAAACGACATATCTGAGTAGATCTAGGCAAGAACGAGATGATGGCTGCTCGTTCGAGTCCGGGATGGCGCGAAATGATATGACATCGTCCTGAACCACCTCTTCACTCTCTTCTCTTATGTTGATGGCAGCTAGAGCAGAGAGGATCTGCGAGGTCACAACAGACAAGGCCGTTAGAGCCGCCCCAGGGACTGTGCCCCGGGAGCGGGCTCCGACGGTCAAGTTAGATCATCTGGTAGATCTGAGATGGTTCTCTTTAGCTAGAGAGAACCATCTTGGTGTTGGTGGTGGTGTATGGTGGCTGACGGCGGCGGGTGGCGGCTGAGCTACACGGCTGGAGTATAGTGTGACGGCTGAGCCAAGGGGAAGATCCCCCTCCATGGAGGAGATACTGTTCACTTTATAGGGGACAATTAGGACAAGGGTAATTAGGTCAGGCCTTGGGCCAGCCCAATTCAGGCCCAACTAGCAAGGAGTTGGGCGAGGCCGCCCGGAGGCGTCGGGCGAGGCTGGCAGGCGCGCACTAGGAAAGGCTGGCAAGGGAGCGCCAGGCCGGGCCCGCAGGAGAGTCCCAGCAAGGCTAGCAAGGGAGTCCCCAGGCCAGGCCAGCATGAGAGTTCCCAGCAAGGCTGGCAAGGGAGTCCCCAACAAGGTCGGCAAGGGAGCGCCAGGCGAGACTGGCGCGCCAGAGCTGTCTAGGCCATGCTAATGGACCATATATCATCAAGTCCCCCCCCAGTCCAATGTTATTGGTACGTGGCCAATGACACTGGACTGGATTCAGTCATATGAACCATGTGTCATCAGGCTGGCAAGGGAGCGCCAACCCGGGCCAGCAGGAGAGTCCCCAGCAGGGCTGGCAAGGAAGCGCCAGGCCGGGCCAGCAGGAGAGTCCCCAGCAAGTTTGGCATGGAAGCGCCAGGCGAGGCTGGCACGCCAGAGCTATCTAGGCCATGGTAGTGGACCATATATCATGACATACTATATATCACAGAAATAACTATCATACTACATAACACATATATAAACATATAGGGATGTCGTGGACTCCCTCTAGGCTCTTACTCCAGGAGGCTGTGGGCTCCCCCCAGGGTCTTATACCTATGTGTCATTGGCTCCCTCACATGGTATTAACTACTTGCCACGGGCTCCCCCATGGTATTTATCTGGAATGCCATGGGCTCCCCCACATGGTCTTGTATCCAACTGCCACGGGCTCCCCTCGGGGTCTTCACATATCTAGTCAATCATTACTAGCACATTCTCATATACATGCATACCAGACATATCAGTAGTGAATCCACAATAAACACTACAACTAACTGAATGGGCCGGCCTTGGTGCCTTAGACCCATTGGTATGGTGAGGATACTCACCTTTGTCTGCTGAACCCGGAAGCTGCTCTCCTAACAGTCCGAAACTACCAGTGTTGAACAACAATGCCATTAACCCAAAATTAGGGTTGAATATAACCTAATTAAAGAACCAAAGCCCAAGTCCTTTCATAATGGCCCAAAAGCCTTCCATTGCTAGTGGGCCCAAAGTCCATGCCCAAAATTATTAATGGGCCTCATCGCCCAATAAGGCCCAACCATAGCAACCATGGCCCAAAACAGATAAATTGGCCCACTAACTCACAACATGACCAGGGCCAATAACTTATTAAGGCCCAAAAGGCTTACACGCCCAAAACAAGCCCAATCCCATCTGAGTGCGTACGCATTGCGTACCACTCCTGTACGCTCAGCGTACTGAGTTCCTAAGCTATACGCGCTGCGTACGCTATATTACGCCCAGCGTACAAGCATATTAAGCACTTACTTCCATTAAGTGCTTAATACTTGATGTTCTAACATCCAATATTAGTAATGAGTTCATTAAGACGTCCTAGGGCATAAAGTTGGCAACTTTATGCCCTTGCATGCTATATGGGACATCAAAACTTCATTCTTCACATTAGGATTTCATAAAAAGCTTCAAACTCAAGCATGGAGTGTAGATAACCTTCAAGATAGCACCTTTATGCATCTAGCATGCTCACAAAGTTTAAATCTAACCATATCAGCCTCTGGAGTTGCTCAACTCTCAAGATAAGGTCTAAGAACCAACAAAATGGATAATATGGAAAACCCTAACTAGATCTAATGAATAAGATGGCAAGATTAAGACTTTATACCTCCAGAAGCTCTTCAAGGTGAACTAGATGCAGATTCTTGAAGCACAATGCCACTCTAAGCTTGCTCACTAACTTCTTCTTCTCAAATGAGCTCCAAAATGGCCACAAACACACTTTTAAGCTCCGAAATCACACTCTCAAGGGAAAAATGAGGTAAAGGGATGAAATGAGGCTCTAGAGGTGGATTAGGGTTTAGTCCCAAAGACTTAAGGATGCTTAAATAGGTGTCAAGTCCGAAAATTAGGGTTTGGTCCTCTGTCGCGTACGCCCCTCGTACCTATATGTATGCCCTGCGTACGCGAAACTCCTTCGCGATCCTTCCTCCATAGTACGCTAAGCGTACCCTAAGGTACGCCCAGCGTACGAAAGGGACTTTTTTGGCCAAATAAATCATTTTAAAAGGGTTTGAAGGGTTTACCTGATTTGGAGTGTTACAACTCTCCCCCAATTGAACTAGACTTCGTCCTCGAAGTCTGTCGGCGCAAACAGATTCGGGTAATGCTCCCGCATCTCATCCTTCGGCTCCCATGTCCATTCAGAGCCTTTCCGGTGTTGCCATTGCACCTTCACTAGCTTTACATATTTTTTTATGAAGAACCTTAGTCTTCCTATCCAGAACCGCGATGAGTTTCTGAATGTAGTTCAGGCTCTCATCAGCCTGAATGTCATCCAACGAGATAACTGTGGCCTCGTCAGTGACACAC